AGTGCCGGGGAGAGAGGGGAGACACTATGAAAAGGTGGCAGGAGGGCTGGGCCGGCGAGAAGAGGGCTTCCTGGACGAGGCGGCTGATACCCGAGGTAGGCCGCTGGGTTGACTGCGTACACACGTACACAACGTACTACGTGACGCAGGCACTCAGCGGACATGGATGCTTCGGGGATTACCTGCATCGGATCGGGAAGTGGCGGTCCAGCGCCTGCATGTACTGCGGGGAGGTGGACACGGCAGAACACACGCTCTTTGAGTGCGGGAGATGGGAGATACAGAGAGGGTCTTCGCGGTGGCGGGGGGCAGACGTCTGACGCCGGAGACGCTGATGGAGGGAGTGATGGGGACGCGAGAAGGTTGGAGGGAGGTGGTGGACGCGCTCGGAGACCTCCTTCGACAGAAGGAGGAGAACGAGCGTGCTAGGCAGGCGAGAGGGGAGTGAATATGGCCCGCTGGGTAGAAGTGAGCACACGAGTGCGTTCCTACCCAGCAAGTAAGCCTGGCCAAGGAGTGGTTTTAGTGAGTATGCCTTTAGGAGAATCTCACACTACCTTGCGCTGATAGAGCCTAAGGCGCTTGGTGTCTATAAAAGATTTCCACTTAAAAAAAAAAAAAAAAAGGTTAGGTTAGGTTAGCCTGGCATATTAACTCGCAAAAAACTAATTTTATATTATTGCTGTTACGGACCTATTATCGCCACCTACACACAACCGCCGTAACCAACCCCAAACATTCATTAGTTAAGTACGACACGCGCCAACACAAAGGACCAACCCAACAGAGGGTGGTCGCAGAATCTCTTATCTGCGACGCCCGTTCCAAACCAGTGTAACCGTTTGCGGATAGCAGGGCATTCACGGCGTACCATATCCAACTCCGGTTCCGCCATGCCTCACCACTCGATAAACCAAACGACATCCTACTGCTATTGCATTCGCAATATTCCCAACGCCATCACCTCCCAAAAACAACTCTACAACTCCATCCTCACCTTCAACCTCCCCTTACAAACCTAAAATTCAACCACAACCATACAGCCCTAATTGAAACTAAACTGCCTGTTGCTTTCGACCTCTCCAAGAAACTCCAACACCTATTCGGCGATCCCAACGTATCCTTCACCCAACTGTCCGGTCCGAAACCCCAAACCCACACCCCTAAACCACCATCTTTCTCCTGTGTCATCCGTAATGTCGACCGAGACATCACGGAATCCGAAATCCTACAATCCATAAATCTCCCTAGAATTACCCGCGCTCTGCGCATCATTTCCCGAGCGACTAACCTCCCCACCACCTTTGTACGGATCATTACAACCAGCAAATCCACCCTAGAACACCTCCTCCAACACGGTGTCTGCATGTTCAGCAGGCACTACCCTTGCGAACCATCCCACATTCCAGACCCTACTCCTTAAGTACAGCTCCTTATGCATCAAAATCGGCCACCTCTCCTCCACTACCCGCGTCCAAATCTGTCCCTCCTGTGGTGAAAACCACAAACCCAACATGTGCAAATCCGACACCCAACCCAAGTGCAACAACTGTTCCGGACCCCACCCCCACCTATTCCTTTGAATGCACCAAACGTAAAGAAATCCCCAGCACTTCCGCCGAAGCAGTTCAACCCAAACCCGCCGACACCCAGTCCGAATCCTCCTCACTTCCAGAAACCGCCTATTACCTACGCCAAACCGACTTCCTACGAACCATAGCCCTTACCTTCATCCATCTTTTCCCCGACCGCCGTTCGGAGGTCATCCATGCAATCGACCAAGCGTCACAAGCATTCCTTAACTGAAGAACTTGGGCATCCTTCTCCGGAAACGTGGTAGCGTTTTCCACTCCCTACATGGTGGTTTCTTAATTCCGCAATCATGGATTTCGTCGTCGGTACCGTTAACCCCTGTGGCGTACGCCGCAAACGCCCCCTCATAAAAAACCTCCTGCACTCCGACCAAATACAGATCCTCTCAATAACTGAAACCAAACTAACTTCCAACGCCGTCCTCTCTTTCAGAGACTACAAAACATTTCAAAAAAACAGTTCCCTTAGGGGAGCACATGGAACGGCCTTACTTATTAGGGACCGCTTTCCCTCCACTCCATTAACACTTCCGCCCCACCTTCAACACTTAGAATGTGTTTCTACCTTTCTACGATTCTACCTGCAACCCCAACGGCATTATTCTCGCCAACCACCTAATTAATAACCCTTCCTATCTGTCGTGTTAACAACACCACCCCAACCTTTGTTTCGCACAACGGTACTTCTATTGTCGACCATATCATTTTCACCGAACCCCTCTTCCGCTACATCGACGTCAACTGCTTCCTAGGCACCACAATCACCTCCGATCATCTTCCATTGCTTGTCCGCACAAACTTCAGCCCTCCCCCTGCTCTTCCGCCCACGGTGATCTATAAAAAAGACTTCTCCAGAGCTAACTGAGAAGCTTTTGCCCAACACGTTACAGAAAACATTCAACCACACCCTTCTCTCGAGAAGAGAACTGGGTCAGGGTGACTTCCGCTCTGGACTACAGAGACGGACGTCGATACTGGCACCAGTTCAACATACTGACCGGCAACAGAAAAGTCCAACAAACCCAGCTAACAGACAGATATCTACAAGAAACATTTCAATCACCTGATCTTCCCAACTACGATCTCGAGTTTAAACTGGTGGTTGAACAGTTGCTAGTTTATTTTATCAAGATGTCCCCCTGACGATCCTCTTCTTCAGCAAATACTCCCCCAAACGATTGTCGACACTATAAAAAGTGGACGCAATACAGCACCCGGACCGGACAACATAAACAAGACTGATACTACGCCACCTTCCTCCCTCCGCAATCACATTGTTATCCGCTGCATCCAACTCCCATATTTTCCAACACCCTGGAAATCCTCATCAGTAGTTATGAGCCCAAAACAAGCCGATACCACCAGGGCATCCTCTTATCGACATAAAACTCTCGAGCAGATTATGGCCTAATATTATCTCTACCACTCATTGCCTACGGTGCAGGATCTTCACCATTCCTGGTGGCCTATTCCTTAAAAAAACCCTTAAATGTCGCAAAATCTAACACTCCCTCCCAACACGGTTCCAAAGTTCGAGAGTAGCTCTCGGGCTTACTCCCTGGTACTTCAAGGTATGAGAAAAACTACAAATTGTCACAAATCGGGAAAGAAATCTGTAAAATCTTATGAACTACTAACGCCCTTCACCCACCAAAACTTTAGCGCTGGGGTTGCGGTTGACTAGCCGTTGTTTAGTCACCTGACACGACACGCAGTGCCTTCTGTGGCAGCGTTATTCTACTATACCTTCACGGAGAAATATACACTGAACAAAGTGTAGAGTGCAAATTTACTTACTTTAATATCCATTCCTAAATCTTTCTTAAGTACTCCAGAGGCGTTAACACCTTGGTTTGTATCGTTAAATTGGAAAAGGGTAACGATCGGATTTTCCACCAAGTCATGATTGTAGGATATAATCTCGAGATTTTCAAATTCTACCATAACTTCCTCCTGCAAGAACGTAATCATTCTATATACCACTTACATTATTCTTTTAGTTACGGCTGCTATAACGAGGAAGAGCATTTGAAGGCATAGCACAACGTTGCACATCATGGTTGATCTCTGAAAGTAAATAAAATTGAGTTACATAACTATATTAACAAAAGTTATTACTCGTATTTACTGGTACACGTTTTTCAGTATCAAAAATAAAAATACAGGAGAGTAGGTTTAAAACTCACTTAAAAGTTTCTGAAGTTGTAGCCTTTTTACCAGATACAAATTTTCATAATTAATTAGAGGTTCGCAGCCTAATCTTTTATTAATTAATTATTTTTCAGCCCTTACCGAAATGAGTAACTGTAAATGATCATTTCAAGGTTCCTCGAGTACCTTAAACATTGTAAGTAGCATTAATACAAATTGGTATACTGTCACCGAATCAAAAGGTACAGGTGATATACAAAATATTGCTTATGCACACCGGGATAATGCTATAGAAGTATTTTTAGGTGACCGTAATATAGACGTTGACGAGCATCTGGAATATTGTGTGGCAGTAGTGATTCTGACAACCAGTAACATCGGCACAATTTGCGGTGCTCAGTTGAAACGTTGAGAGTTTTTTCAAATTCCTTGCCAAAAATCTCCATCGAGTCGAATTAAATAAAAATTATGGAAATATGAACATTGCACTTGATATCAATAGCTAAATCAATAAACTAATTTGTGAAGATCATTTCTTACCTTATGATATTACAATAAACATATAAACGTAAATTGTTACGTAAAAATGCCTATAATGTTATAGTATGGTAACCCAGTGATCATATCATATATATTTGATCAAACCTTAAAACTGTTCAACCTGATCCCAATAACACTGTACCTGCTGAAATGATGAAAAGTACAAAAATATAAACATTAGTTTTAGGTTTTAGATGATGAATGAAAAAGAGTTCGTTACCACAGATTACATGTTCTAGGTATATATATATATATATATATATATATATATATATATATATATATATATATATATATATAGACAGACACACACACACAGGTAATCTATAAAAGAACTCCGGGGTTTAAAAAATTAATATTTTTTAAACTATAAAAGATAGCAAAATTTGATCAATTCCTTTGAAACAAGCAGCTCAAAGAGTTTTACTCATACGAATTGGGAATGTTTCTCTCAACAGTTGGCAGCGCTGCGGAGCGTTGACCGTGAAATGACGTAACGGCTGCGGCAGGCAGTCAGTGTCGTCTGGACTAACTAACGGAGCTCACATTGAACTTTACTAAGTTGTTAAAAAATCTTGAAAATGTAAGCTTTCTAATCATGTATAAAACATGTATGTACGTTTTTTACTGTATTAAAATATTTTGTCTTAAAACCCCGGAGTTCTTTTATAGATACCCTGTATATTCGTAGAATTTCACAAGAAGCGTTTGCTTTCATAAGTCTAATTTATAACCAAAAATAACCCCTCCTTTCATTCAATAGAAGATATGATAGAAAACGCAGAAGTAATCATGGACGTTGGGCAAGCTCCTGTTACTTCTACCTTCATCGTTTCCCAGCTTCCACGGCAGTATAATGAAGCAGATTTACAAAACATACCTCAAGAAATTGATGAAGAACAAAATATCGTAGTACAAGTAATAAAATTAATGAAGACAATTTATTATAAATATGAAACTATTTCTTTTTTTATTTTTAGCTTAACGAATTGGAAAGTCATGATGAAGGAGAAAATATGGGCTTTGCAGAAATCATGCCAATAATTTCTGAACTTTCAGACCAAGGTATTAACGTACATTCAGAGAAATTTACCGGCTTAGAAATCGACATTGAAACAACTCAAATGCAGGTAGTAGTTTTATAATAAAATGTATAAAAATTCTATTTTTTATTTTTAGTGCAGTGAAGATATTCAAACTACTTTCCAAAGTGGGGAATCCGAAAACCAAAAGGAAATTTTGGAGCTAGAAGAACAGATCGAAGTGATCGAAATAAATACTAAGAGTTATTTAGAACCAAATCAACTAAATGAGACAAGAAGAGAAAAGAAAAAACTTGTAAGAAAGAAAGTGCGCAAACCTCAAACATGGAAAAATAATATTCGAAAAGAACTCTGCCAAAAAGGTAAGGAATATATTAACACAAGGGGAAAACAAGTTAGCGCAAAAACTATCGTGAATAAAAAAGATTGTAATAATAAATGCAAATTTCAATGCGGCAAACAAATTGGAGAGAATGCCAGACAGAAGTTGTTTGATTACTATTATGAATTAAATCAAAATGAAAAATATGTATTTCTTAAGCAAGTAACTGAAAGGTATGTTAAAGGACGGAAAACTACAGAAGGTCCTTCTCGTCGTGCTTATTCGTTCAAATATTTTTTTAAAGTTCAAGAGGAGAGAATACAAGTATGCAAATCATTTTTTTTAGGAACACTAAGTATTTCTCAAAAACCCATATACACTGTACATTCAGTTGATCGCGACACTCCAAAAAAAGATATGAGAGGAAAGACTGGCACTAGAAAATTAAGTAGTGAGAATAAGCAAGTTGTTATTGACCATATAAATAAGTTTAATGTAGTAGAATCTCATTACTGTAGACAAAAAAGTCAGAAAAAATATTTGGAAGCCACATTAACTATCCCAAAAATGTATGATTTATATCTTACATTTTGTGCAGAAAATGGCATAGAAAATCCAGTTAAACTGTCAATGTACAGACACATTTTTTCAACTAACTTTAACTATAGCTTCCATAAGCCTAAAAAAGATGTTTGTGAAACCTGCTCCACCTACTATTTTAAAAAAAAGGAAAATAGGCTAAATGACATAGAAGGAGAAGCTATGGAAAGACATATTGCAGAAAAACAAGCTATGAGAAGAGAGAAAGACAATGATAAAAAAAGTAATGTTCCTATTTTATGTTTCGATCTAGAAAATGTGATAACCTGTCCAAGATCTTTTGTTGGAAACCACTTTTATTTGCAAAAGTTGACTATGTATAATTTAACTGGTCATTTGTCCACAACAAACAAAGCGTATTGTGCCCTATGGATTGAAACCATTCAGGGCCGAAGTGGTAATTGCCTGGCTAGTGCCTTTAAGAAAATCATTGAGAAGGTTCTAGAGGACAACCATTTAACCGAACTTATTACTTGGAGCGACAGCTGCGTCCCACAGAATCGCAATTCCCACATATCTTTCTGCGTTTTAGATTTACTTAGAAATCAACCAGACCTTCAACATTTAACTATGAAATACTCCATACCCGGGCATGGTGCTGTACAAGAGGTCGATAATATTCATAGCCAAATTAAGAAGCGCATGTCACAGTTACAATTCTTTTCACCTTTGGGTTTCATTAAGGAACTTAAACAAGTGAATAAAAAAAACCCGTTTGTTACCATTTTGATGAAAGAATCGGATTTTATGAACTATGGGGAGTGTTCTAAGCAAATGAAGTATGATAACATACCATTCAGCAAAGTTTCTACCATACACTTTTCCAAATCCGATTTAACCGAAGTATCATTTAAAAGAAGTCACGCAGATAATGAATTTGTAAAAATTTCGATAAGTCCTGCTGTTCCTGGCCTTCCTCGTCGTCGGAGCAAAAAAACCGCAGCAGTTAAAGCCCCACCTGAAATTGCAAAGCTCATACCAAAGATTCTATCAAACAAGAAAGAAATTTCTCAAGAAAAAATGGATGCTATAAAAAAATGCTGTCCTCAATGCCGCAGGTTGATCAAGATTTTTATAAAGACATATTAGATATATAACTTTAGTATTCAGTTTTGAATTTTTATTTTAAATTACATTAAGTTACCTACTACTTTAGTTGTTACCTCAGTTTTATTTTAAATACAAAAATAAAATAAAACCGTTTAAAATATTCACTACAACTTTGTTTTAATACCAAACCTTATTACACGCAGACTCTAACTTTTAAAAATAAAAGAAGTGGAAGTGACAGATAGAACCATGTTTGAAAAAATATATTGGATTATTTTGAAAAGTTAATTTTACAAGGTTTCAACTCCCAGATAGAACCATATTCCGTTAAATATTTCTAAAAATTTAATTTAATAAGGTTCTATCTTCATTTATTACTTGCCAATTCACATACTAGATCTATCGACATCGACAATATTTTATCACTAAAATTTATTTTAAAAATATTACAAAAGTATACTATTTGTTCTGAATTAATATTATCAATTTTATACTTAAATATTGCTTACGTAAACTTTAACCTTTAATTTCTCAAAATGGTTGCCTGTCCAGATACACCTTTATTATTCCAAGTGCACGATATATTTTTGTTAAATATCTTAAAACGAAAAGTTAATTCAAAATGCATCAAACGTCATTTTACATAAGGACTAATAATTTCTAAACTCGACCCACCAGAAATTCAATCTCAGTAAATAACTGTACTCTACAAAGCGAATACTAATGACACGCGATATGCGTTCCAATAGGACTTTAAGTGCATAGTTATTTTTGTCAGTGCACCAGACAACTGATTTGTAAACCCACATTGAATAGATCAGTAATCCGGTTTCTTAGTTGGACTGACGCGGTAATAAATGGAGAAAAATCCTATAAATCTTAAGTCAGCATCGGTGTGCCTTTGAAATTTGAAAGATGAAATAAATCTAAATAAATACTGCACGGTTTCTCGTACTATAATGTTACTGAAAATGAGTATATAAAGTATCGTACTTTAAATTTTCATTATCGTAATAAATCTGGATACGCTTCATATAAAATTCAAAGGATAACCATGTCTCTACTCATGCAAAAGGATACGGCATTGCGTAAAAAGGAAATAGAAAGAGATTGATTACTTGTAGTCTTAAGATAAAACATCGAAAAAAAAACGAAGGGCTATTTGGCGTAAGAGAATTATACCTTTCCGTGCTAATAAATACCTTTACAAAAAGTGAAGTTGATTTATCTTGATATCCATTACATGTTAAAATGTATTAAGCGTCAAGATAGCGAGACGCAGTCAAAATATGGGAAAGAACTGTGTGATTATGACATGTCGTCTAAAATCGTACTGAACTCGGGATTAAATGCAACAAAAAGCTTGCTCCTTTCGATAAACAGAGTTTTTGGACCGAATGAAGCTATAAGCAAATCCACAAAAACATCAAGGTCGTCGCTAGTACCCGAGACAATGTGTCATTTCAGTAGCAGTGTAGATCGTAACCTCGACTGCAAAAACTGTATTTCAACCGAGAAGCTCTTATAGATTTCATAGGAAGAAAACTATTGTTTCGTCCTATACAGTTTGTTTCAAATGGACGACCTCTACACAAATTTGACCTTGAAAAGAAAGAGACAACCCTCTACATAATCTAAGCTTCTCTAAAAGGTGGTACCAATATTACAGAACATTACTATGTCTGGGGAAATTACTATATTATTACGAACGTTTTTAATTTGTTGCTGTTTAGCTTGTTGATTTGCTTGTTTAACCTTAAATTTTACGTTTTACGTATTAAGTACTTTCCTTACCTTTGTGAATTATCATAGCTATTTGTTTTGGGCTTTAGTTATCTATCCAAATGAGAGACGATTCCATTTCATTGAAGATGTGCCAGGGGCCCTTTGTGTAGACCTCAACATTTCTGATCATTCTGTTTTACAATTACAGCGGTGGTTTGAATGTCGATGTTTCAAGAAATCTGGTACAGTCATTCGGGGTATCATTGATCCACAGGGTCTAACTTTGCACCATTTACTTTTTTTGGTATTACTTACCTTAAAAGCATCATTCTTTACTGTAGAAACCATTTGATTTTTATAAATTACAACAGAGGTCTCTCTCGTTGGCATTTCCATTTAGTTTGATGGCGTCTAACACCCTGAATCGTGTCAAACTTCAATTTATCGGTGGCCGGTAAAGTGTAATGTTGTAAACAATAATTTCAAGTGCTTAATTACAACGATTCTATTCAAAAAGTAAGTATGCAAAAGATTTTAATCATTGTATTAATGATTTCGGATCACTTTCGGTGCTATAAAATTTCAATTTTTATGAACATAGTCCGAAATTGCAATAAAAACTGACCCGACTTGCAATTTATATGATTTAAGGCTAACTTTGCACCACTGGTTCAAAGTTACACTGACGTTTTAAAAATGCGGGAAATTTAATTTATTGAGTACATATACATAATTTTGAACTTTTGTATTCCCAGAGTGGTCTGAAATGCCCAAAAAAAACATGCACGCTGTACATCCTGGAGTTCGGCGATATGGAACGAAAAGCCGATATACAGAAGAACATCTACAAAGAATACTGGAGCAGGTTAAAAGCGGAATGGTGAGTGAAAGGCAGGCCTCAAAACTATACGATATCCCGCGAAATACAATACGCAATAAACTAAAACAAAAGCATTCAAAAAACGTTGGAAGACCTACAGTTTTATCTCCGGAAGAAGAGAAGTCAATAGCTAAACATGTTATTTCATTAAGTGATAATGGGATTCCAATGTCTTTGTTTGATGTGAGATGCATCGCACAAAGTTACCTAAATTCTCAAGGGAGAAAAGTGTCGCAGTTTACGGGAAATTTGCCGGGCTGGGATTGGAGCCAATTATTTTTGGAGAGAAGCCGAACAGAACTTGTTCAACGGTTTCAAGTAAATATTTCGAGGAGGAGGGCACAAGTAAATGAAGAAATAATAAATCTTTTTTTTGATAACTTGGAGAAGGAAATTTCTGATATATCACCAAAAAATCTATACAATTACGATGAAACAGGTTTTCACGACGTTCCAACTAAAAGAAAACTCTTATTTAGGAGAGGGTGCAGGAATCCAGAGAGGATATTGAATTCTACGAAGTCTTGTTTTACTACCCTGTTTTGTGGAAATGCATCTGGGGAGTTTCTACCTCCATATGTTATAATGAAAGGCAGCCTCAAGTGGTCGGATTGGGTTTTTGGTGCACCTAATGGAACGAAATTAAATACTTCAAAATCAGGCTGGATTGAAAATGCTGTGTTTGATGATTGGTTTGAGACACATTTTCTACCAGTGGCCAACAAAAATGAAGGTAAAAAGATTCTGATAGCCGACAACATGTCAGCACATATTTCAATAAAAACATTAACACTTGCAAGAGAAAATAATGTGCTTTTAATATTTTTTCCTCCCAACTCTACCCACTTATTGCAACCACTGGATGTGGGGTATTTTGCAAGTCTTAAAACATATTGGCGTCAAATTTTAACCCAGTGGAGGGATACCAAGGGAGGAAAGAAGACAGTTGCTATGCCAAAATCGGTATTTTGCCAACTCCTCAAAGCAACCCTAGACCTCGGAAAAGATACTGCAGCCCATAATCTCAAAAAGGGGTTTGAGGCTTCAGAAATTTATCCCACTGATAGAAATAAAGCATTGTTAAAACTTCCGTTATATGCTCGACCAATGAGTGAAATAAATGAAGACATTGGGAAAGAATTTAAATTATATGTAGAAAAAATTCGTGAAAATGATTTGCAGACCGTTACAAAGGCAAAAAAATTCTGTCTTCCAATAACTGCTGGCAAAAGTGTTTCAGTCGAAGAAGTAAACCAGTATTATCAAAACAGGAGTACAATTACTGGTAATACTAGGATATGCGTAGGTGGACCATCTCGAGGTGGACCGAAATCTCGAGGTGGACCGAAAACACGAGGGGGTCGTAGATCTCAAGAATTTATTAGGACCAACAGAACTCTTAAAGAAAAAGAAGAGAATGTTGCAGTTGAGAACAACCTGCAAGAAAATGAAGGAGTTGAAGAGTTACATCAAGAACAAATGGCAGATTATGGAGATGTGCACGGTCAACAAATTTTGCTAGAAAATAATACAATTGAAATGATACTCGAGGACCCAATTGGCAACAATTTTGACATTGAGAACTTACCAGTAGATATTGTACTAACAGGAAGGACTGAACAAAATCAAATGGTCAGGGACAAAGAATACCATACAATAAGTAGGAACAAGGACAACAAACAAAAATGCAGTGAGGTACACAAGGAACAGAAGGCAGAAGAGGCCAAATTAGAAAACCAGCCGAAGAAAACTTTCCCTGGATCCCCCCTGAGACAAATTCAAAGCAAGATGGATTTGGAAGAAGCTAATAGTTTTAAAAATCAAGAGATATTTTCGGGATTGTGTTATTTTTGCACTTTTAATATGTCTAAGCGTTCATTAGGCATAAAATGTAATAATTGCATAAGAGCCTTTCATCTGGGATGCATTGAAAAGAATAGACTTCACAAGTCAAATTCTAACATTTTTACTTGTGTCACTTGTTTAAAGAAAATATGATTCATCTATCGCGTGATAAATGTAACCTTATGTTCAAAAATTAACAGAAAATCTTTATTTTGTATTGTTGTGTAAAAATTTAGGTTCCTAATAAATATTTTAAAGCTTTCGTTGAATGAACCCATGAACGGTCATATAACGCATGATGGTAACCAGGCCTGGGATTAAAATGTTTGGGCTGTGTAATTTTCGTACATGTGAATTATGTTTGTATGTATCTAATGCACTGGTATAAAGTTGTCCTTATAGGCTAAAACACCAAATATATAAGATTTTCCATATAATTGTAGACATGGTTCAAAGTTACACCAAGGGCGGGTCTAACTTTGAACCGTATCAAAATATTTTTTTTTCGGAAATATACTCCCTATTTTGACATATTTTTGAGCTTTTAAGGTATTTTCGAACTATATACAATCATAATATACTCAAAATG